CATAAATTAACACATAATTAGCACTCATACACCGTGTCCTAACCAGGCGTGATGAGACAAGACTCCTGTGACAAGAATCTGAACGTGAAAATGGTGCGTGACGCAACAAAACCAAGCACAAAACAGCCAATTATAGGCGTTATCTCTGTTTCACATGCACAACACACTGGGCAAAGAGCGTAAAACTACATTCAGTATCTTGTATTTTCATGACTATTTTCGGACGGCATGCTTTTAATGGATAACCTTTAATTTACCTTATAATCTCTGATTTCTTTTACAATCAGTCTCTCCTTGTCCGAGTTTAATGTTTAATATACGTGAATCAGAGATTTCAGTGTGTACAAATAAAGCAACCAAGCGACTGACGAAATGTAGTGTCGCTCGTTACTTGTAGCGGAGACCAAAACTCTGATTAACAGAAAAGAGACACCTCACTTGTGGCTTATAATGTTGCATCTGGTTATGACACGGTGTTAAAATCACAACACTTGTTACCAAACTCACCAGTTAATGCTGGCAGGTGGTGAACTAAAGACTCTGCAGTCCATAATCACCCTCTTGTCTAACATGGTTGCGTACTCCAGATAATTCGGCGTCAGAATCAAAGGGGGATGATCTGAGAGAAAGCCAGACCATTAGTCAAAACATTCGTGCACACAGACAAACATCAAACATCCAGCGTGGCATACGGCTCACTTTCTGCGCTGTAGTTTGAAACCGAGGCACACTCCCAAAATCACAATTAAACTGTAAAAAAGCTATTAGCATATAAAAGAGCTCTCTTCTTCTGCCAGCTACAAACAGGAAACAGTGACCGAAGTAGGTCATAGACACACTCATGCACACGTTTCATGTTTTTCTTCTACGTCAATTATGAACCAACAGCTGCTGAAACCCTTAAGCCATTACATGTCAGCAAGAGCATCATATCATAATCAAAGGCAAGAAAACTTCAATGAGGACCACAAGCCTCTCTTCTGGTGCTATGTGATTAATTGATACATGTAAATTAGGTGGGTTGCGCATCAGTAGCACTAACCTACAGTATTATTGCGCTCTAAAAATCACAATATGATATTCATCTTCCAATTTACACAGGTAAGTGAAGTACTCACTCATGACAAGCACGTTAGTGTTGACAAGCAGGGTCCCGTGCTTGTTGGAGGCCTCACACTGGTACACGGCAGTGTCGTTCTGCTCTGCTCTGAGGATGATTATTCTGTCATCAAGCATTTTGTAATTGGTAGAAGGAAAATCTGGGGAGAAAACAAAGTTGAATTGGCACCCAAAGTGTTTAGGAGAGACTGGGGTTAGTTGTCACATGGGTTTATACAGTACACTACAGTTCAAAAGTTTTTGAATGGTCTTTTTTGCTCAGGCTGCATTTATTTGATCAGAAATACAGTAATATTGTGAAATAT